CTTATTAAGTATTTATATCCTAACTTAGTAGATGCTGTGTTATCTTAGAAAAAGAAAAGCCACATAGGGGCCTGCCTGGTGGCATAGCGGTTAAGTTCATGCACTCTGCTTCAGTGGCCCGGGGTTTGCAGGTTCAGATCCTGGGCATGGACTGATGCACCGCTTGTCAGGCCATGCTGTGGCGGCGTCCCATATAAAGTAGAGGAAGATGGGCACGGATGTTAGCCCAGGGCCAATCTTCCTCAGCAAAAAGTGGAGGATTGGCAACAGACATTAGCTCAGGGCTAATCTTCCTCACACACACACAATAAAAAAAGGAAAGAAAAGCCACATAAATTGAGAGAAAAAATATTTTTATTTCATTTATCATCACAATGACTTACTAATGGGGTGTGTGTGCCTGTTGAGCACTGCACAGCTTCTCAAACCTTGGAATCAGATTGGACACCACCACCCTCATTTCCTGTTCACATTGATTTTTGAGGGGTATTTGCTTTTTACCACCAAAACCTCCAAAAACCCAATTTCCCAAAGATATCTCATCAAAAAGAATGTAGTGGGGTCTAATGTTGAAACTGAACTATCTTGAGCTAATAGTTTGAGCAGTGTATGACAGATGTCCCATATCATTGCATTTCCTTTGAAAATTTAAAGATCCCGGGACACCTCTGTGAATTTGCTGCAGTGCCCTGGGGTGCCTTGGTGCACAGGTTGGGAACCAAATGTATTCACCAAATCTCTGCTTCTCACTCCATTCCACTCCACCCCTCAGTTATTCAAAGCTACAGTTGAAGCCTCTGTTTCAGACCAAATAAAAGCGTCAAAAAGAAATGCTAAGCCAGATTAGTCTTCACTTTGAGAACCATTTTAACAATGTATTTTGAATGCTGCAAAACAATTACCAGGACACTACCAAGAAGTTCTAAAAATAAACTTGACAATACAGAGGGATTGGTGATCAGATGCACATCTTGGAGCTCTCGCTGGTGACGTGAAGGATAAATCAGAAGGGGAGGCAATGCCATTGACTGGACTGGCCCCAGATGGTTATAGGAACTGCGCCGGGGCAGTGGGGATGGAGGACACAATGGGGGTGATGTTCATGAAGCTAAGTCAATAGGCCTCGGTCCACTGGATTGTGGGGCAACCCATTCTCCCCGCTAACCTCCAGGAGGTTCTCATCTTTCCCCCACATCTGGGCAGATGTTTCTATCCAACCCTCCCACCCAAGCCTGGGGGGTGAAGGAAGCAAGGACGTCAGCCCCTGCCCTCTTTGCCCCACTTCTTCCTCATTTCTCCTTTCCATCCTGCACTAGGCGGGAAGGGGCAGCCTGTCACTCCTCCCACAAGGCAGGGCCTTTCCTGTCACATCCTGGGTTCTTTGTAGCAAACTAGACAGTCAGGTGTGGCACTCTTGGTTCTTGCTTTGTTGATGATGGCTTAGGGGATTTAAAAAATCTTATCTTTCGAGTAAAGCCTGGCTTCCCAGACCGTTGATGTGCTGGGGACTGTCACTCCTGTTTTGGTGGTCAAAAGCTGAACTCTGACTTGTCTCTGTTTCTTCGCCTCCTCACTCCAGCCTGGCGCGGCCATTGCACTGTCCTGCTTTTTCAGAGCATTGGCTACTATCTGAAATGATCTGCTGTCTGTCTCCTCTCATTAGAACCTAATGGCAGGGACTTCATTCATCTTGTCCAGCAAGTATCTCCACCATTTATAACAATGTCTGGTACATACAAAGTGCTCAATAAACATGCATGGAGGGAATATATAATGCTTCAAGAATTTGTACATAGCACGTTCTCAATATACAACAACTAAAAAAAAAATTCAAAATCCACCAACATTTTAGGGACAAGGCAGCTGAAAGAAAATGAAGAGCCTACAAAGGAGCAAGGAGCAGAACACCCAAGAAAGGGGCTCCCAGAATCCAAGAAGAGAATTTCCAGGAGACATCGAAAGAATGGAATGCAACAGATAAAGCAAGAGGGTCTGGAAGGGGGCAGTGAATCAGTGGAGTTCACTGATGCACCGAAGGTGAGCAGGCCACTGGCCGGAGCCAGAGAGCAGTGGGTTGAGGAGCAAATGAGAGGTAGGGAGCGGAGAGTGAGTGGAGAAAATTCCAAGAAGTTTAGGTCTGTAGAGAAAGAGAAGGATGGAACAGGAGCTGAAGGCGATGCAGGATTGAAGAAAAGCCTTATTTTTAAAAATTTATTTTTTGGGGTATCTTGAACATATTTTATAGGCTGAGAGTTGAAGAATCTAGAGAAGAGAGGGCTTTCCTGATTTTTCTGAATTGTGTGTAATCTCTTCTTCCTTTAAACTCCCACCTTGCACTTCCCTTATGGCAGGCATTTATAGTTCCTTGTCATATCCCTCTACTGGAGATGAAGCTCAGTCAAGGCAGGCCTGTGCCTCGCATGACATCTTGTTGATGCATATAATAGGTACATATAATAGGCCCGTAAGTGTGGCCTGAATGTGGCTAGATCCCCTTTGGTAGACGTTGCTTCTTGCTCTCCCTCACACCCAACTAGGGCCAGACTCAGTGCTTCTCCACATGCCCTGTCACGGAAGTCCAACTCTCAAAATACTGGCAAGTTCACAGATGGGGAGACGGATGAGAGGGCTTACTGCACAGCACAGAGCAAACCTTAACCGTGATTCTCTAAATAGAAATCTATGTTTGAAAGAGTCTCTAAGTTCTCCCAAATCTCTCTCCAAGGCTGTGCTTTCTGGGATTCTGCTGTCCTCTCCACTCCTACACAGACTCTAAATGTCCTCTTGTTGCCCTGAGCAACTGAACGTTTCCCCTCAGCCTGCACAGGTTAGAACTGGGACGACCCTTTGTTCCTTGAGCCTGCTGCTCGGAGACCTCAGTTTATCTTACAGCCACCTGTATACATATGTACGCCTCTAACATTCACTAAATGCCTCTACCAGTATTTCTCAAAGTATGGTCCACAGGCCACCTGCATCAGAATCTGGGGTGCTTTAACAGGCAGATTTCTGGGCCCCATATCTACTGAATCAGAATTGCTGGGGGTGGGGAAGGTGCCCATAAATGTTTGAGAATGAGCAGCTGTACACTGTGCCAGGCCTGGTCTGTATGCTTCTTTTCCAATAACATCCATGGCCTTCGATGTATCTATAAACCCCAGATCCAGGCATTTGGACTTGCACCCACCCTACAAGGGCCGACCTTGACCTACCAAGGGTCCTCGTCCCTGCAGCTCCTGTGTCCTCTCCTTTTGCTTATGTTCACCCCTGGCCTGTACTACTTCCCCTGTCCTCCCACCATAGCATTCAGCCATCCTCCCTGCCAGCTCGAATCCCACCTGCCTAGCTTATAGAACCCCTCGATCAGCATTGTCCCTGAAGCACACACCTTTTGCCTTGCTTGTTCCATAATAAAATGATAGATATTTCCTGAGCATATGTATTGTTACCCAAAGAGATGGTAAGCTTCTAAGAACAACTGGGCTATAATTCTTTTTGTTTTTCTCAGAGCAGCTGGCAAAAGAAGTGTGTCACTGACAGTCTGGGCTGAGTGAGTGAGTAGAGAAGAGTGAAGGAGGCTCAGGCAGGTGGAGAAGCATTCCCTGGGAAGGCCTTTCTCCATCAGAATGTGTCCAGTCCTCTGCAAGCCTTCCCCGAGGGAATTCTGGTGAGCAGATATGGTTCAGGAAATGGGAAGGAGACGGGGTCATTCTGAGAATATTGATGGTATTTTTAGAAAGCAAAAGGAATCCTTGACTCATTTTTTCCTTGCTTTTTTATCCAATCTTTGGTATTTAAAAATTAGCTTTTGAAGACAACAGATCTAATGTGAGGAAGAGAATCATCACTGAAAGGTAGCAATAGTATACTAAAATGTAGTGCTTCCCTCCCCATGCCCAGATGCAAAGAGACCCTTCAGGAACAGACAGAGAAGAGCAGGAATCGGAGAAGGGGCTACACCAAAGAAGGCCCATCTCTCAGTGTATTCTCCTCTCCTCTGGCCTCAGACCTGACTACTTTGGGAACTGGAAAACTTTTCATTGTTGGTATTTTACAAAGGACAGTGAAGGCTACTGGTAGCTCAGAGGTAAGTTCCCAAAAAAGAACCGTTTTTATTTTTCTCTCTTATGTCAGACGTGAAAGCACTGTAGATGTAATCACTTCTTTCCCACACTGGCTTCCTCTGACCGTGGTTTTTTTTAAAAGTTTTTTTATTTTTATTTTTTTTTTGTGAGGAAGATCAGCCCTGAGCTAACATCCATGCTAATCCTCCTCTTTTTGCTGAGGAAGACCGGCTCTGAGCTAACATCTATTGCCAATCCTCCTCCTTTTTTCCCCCAAAGCCCCAGTAGATAGTTGTATGTCACAGTTGCACATCCTTCTAGTTGCTGTATACGGGATGCGGCCTCAGCATGGCCGGAGAAGCGGTGCGTCGGTCCACGCCCGGGATCCGAACCCGGGCCGCCAGTAGCAGAGCGCGCGCACTTAACCACTAAGCCATGGGCCGGCCCTAACCGTGGTTTTTAAGGGCTCCCAGCATCCCAACCCATCCCATCCCAGATGCTTTCCCATCATTCTCCAGTTAAGTTCAGGGAGATCTTTTCTTCATTTTGTAACTTCTATTCTCTCACTTAGGAATATAAGAGTCTCTACTCTACCAGCTTAGAACTTCTACCCTTTCTGGAAACCTCTTGAACAAACGCACATTATAAAGGAATGGAAAAAGTTAAAAACAACAATGACAAATGAACACAAGGGTGCATGTATGTTGTGGAAGAGAACCACTAAATATCACGCCTAAAGACAAATGTTACGGTCATGGGCCTTGTTCGGGTACGTTGTACATTCTTGGAAAGCAGCAACCGAAGCACTCAGGAACCGCAAGATCTATCAGTTGATCTCTGGAGCAAAATATAGTTGTGATCCCACAGTCTGATAACTGTCTTTCTTCTCCTCATGGAGCCAGGTTCATGTTCCAGAAAAAAGAGAGATGAAAGGAGTGCCATGCTAAAGATTGTAGGAATATTTTAATTCATATGTTTTAATTCATTACGTAATAATAATATCACAGTCTATTTTACAAGTTAAATGTATGAGAATGTATGAAATAGAAATGGTAGGAAAAAACTAAACAGGGGTCAGCAACATGGATTTTTCCAAAACTAGGGACCAAAGAAGATGTGTTGCCTGCTGGGCCCAAGGAGGAGGTAGGGAGGGTGACAGGAACAGCATCAGCTTGTGGTATGTGTCCGTCCCCATGTTTACTCTGGGAGAAGTCGAGGCATGCCCTCTGCCCTGGTCTGGGGTTGGGAGTTTAGTCTGGTCAGTGGAAGATGGCAGCTTGGGAGAAAAAAGCCATCTGGTTACCTACACAGCGCTGGTCCCCTGGTGGCCACAGGTGGGTTTTGTCGTAGAGGGAATTAGGGGTAGAAGTGTCAAAAATCAAAAGTGTGGAGGAAAAAAGTAAATGGTTTCCTCCTTCCCCCCCAAAAAACCCAAATTCTTGAAACGCACACATATTCGTCTCTCAAACGTAGAAAAGTCTCACTCTGGATGTGCTTACGAGAAGATCGTCGTCAAAAAACTTTGTCTCTATGATAACATTCCCACTATAAGTAAGAAGAGAGGGCAAAACGAGCATGTTAGGTGACAGATTTCATTTCCACAAAGTGGTTCCTATCTGGGTCTGCTGGGCCCATGGACATGCACCCACCTAGAACTTTGGTTTGGGGACATTAAATCTGTGCCCATATGGGGTTAGAAGTCTAACATGACATTTAACTTACGTGACTAGGTTTGTCCTCCTCCAGTTCAGAAATCAGAAGAGAGAGTACGTCTTAATCCTTGGTACACTTAAAGCCCTTAGTAGAGTGCTCTGCACAAAGAGGTGCTTAGAAAGACCTTCTGATACATATGGAGATCTGCAGACCTCAGGGTGGTATCTTTCCCTACAACACCTACTCTAGTGGACAGCTGTGGGTTGGCCTGTCCTGCATCTGTTCTCACTTTGGGTAACAGCACTCTGCTCTTCTTTTGGGGAACCACCCTATCTCCAGTCCATGGGTAAATCAAGTGGTCCCTCCCTCACCTGGCAAAAGGGTGGGCACAGGATGTAATCTGGGCCAATCAGACTCTCTCTCGGAGCAGGATCCTTCCTATAGCTGCTCCTTGAGGAGGAAACCATCCACGGATTCCTGCATCTTTCGAGCTGCCCAGGTCTCAGCCCTACTCTTTCAACTCTGTCAGGTTAGCCAGAGTCAGTTTCTACGGCTTGCAACCCAAGAACCCCAAATGATACACGTGTATTGTGCAGAGTGGAATTTCATTTTTCTTGGTGGATATCTCAGTGTTTCCAACCAAACCACTCTTGAACCAAGTTAAGGGCAAGAGAGGCACTGTTTTTAGGTTCTAAAAAGTAAGACATGACTTAACCTAAATATGTTATCATGGACTTACTGGTTTTAGTACCAGAAAGAAATCAGGCCTAGCCAAGAAGTCAAATGAAGGTTAATAAAATCTAAAAAATGCCCTTCTACATACTCTACTGCACTTTCCCATGGTAATTAATAGCCAGCAGATACATTTTTTTTGGTAATTAATTATAAAATAGATAAATAAGGAACTCAAGATCTGACTGATTGATAGAATATAAAAATACCTACTATTGTAATTAAAAATCTATTAAAGACTTATAAAATAACCTCCATTTATAAATTTCAATATGGTTTTCATAAATGACCTGTTTAAATAGATGAGCCAGGGGCCGGCCCCGTGGCATAGTGGTTAAGTGCGTGTGCTCCGCTGCTGGCGACCCGGGTTCGGATCC